ATGTGATACTGTATGATTTTGTTTTTATAATGTTGAAAAACAGGCAAAACATTTGTAATGACAGAAACCAAAACAGTGGTTACAACCAGAGGGAGAGTCCTGGGAAGGACATGACAGACCTTCTGGGGTGTGGGGACTGTGCTGCGTCTTCACCTTGGTGATGGCTCCATGGATAAAGGTACACAAACTTTGAATAATACACGTAGTTAAAATTGGACACTTTCTGTTGCACCTTCCCAACAATTTCTGCCCTTCTTCTTCATTCAGTCCAGTATGCTGGCACCCAGACAGTCACTTCAACAAGAAATGAGAGCTATCTACTGATCTGGACCAGCTGTGTCTGATTTCTCTTGTGGCAAAACAAATCATACCAAAATTTATTAGCTTAAAACATCAGCAATGCCGTGGTTGTGCTGATGGCTGTGCATGGGTGGGTATTTCCTCTGCTCCACGTGCTGATTCTTGGTGTTTCAAGAAGACCTTGCTGTGGCAGGAGGTGTGATCACCTTAGATCTCCACACAGCCTCTCAGCCACTTTCCATAGAAAGTCTAGACTTCCTTACTGAAAGTGGCTTCAGGTGACTGGAAACAGAAGGAGAAAAACCTCTTAAGCGTAGGCATAGAGATGTATACCAAAATTCCCAGCTAATTTTACTTGTCCAACCAAGTTGCAAATGTAGCCAATATTCACGACTCTGCTGCTTGATGAGAGACATGGCATTGTAACAGTGAAAGAGAGTGCCTTCTGGATCCTAGTGTAAGAAGAAGACTTAACAATACTGACAGGGACAACCCATTCTGGACCCCTCCTTTCTCTCAGGAACTCTTCTGATTCCCCGATAATTTTCCTATTTAAAAAAATTGATATCAAGTTTCCTCAAAGAAATAAATCAGGCATATATATGGCAAAGTCCATGGTCAATATACATTCAGAGCATTCAAACTTTTAATTGGCAGCATTCAGCCAAATTGCTAGATATCTGAAGAAAATTTACATGAAAGGTAGAGACTTGAATGAGACAAATTGGAGGAAACAAATTATAAAGGTGGAAAGACATTTTTTCCTTGAGACAAGGTCTTGCTGTGTGGTCCAGGCTGCCCTGGAACTCACTATGTAGCCCAAATAGGCTGCAAACTTGTGGTGATACTCCTGCCTCAGCCTCCCCAGTGCTGGGGTTACAGGCAGACATGTGCCATCATGCCTGGCTAGGAAGAAACATTTTAAAACTTTTATTAATGTCCTAGAAGAGAGAGAAAAGCAGATATATATCCATGAAAAAAAATTCTATAAGAAGGAGCATTCAAACTGGGCATGGTGGTGTAAGCCAACACAATGAGAAGCTCAGGCAGAAGGACTGCAAGTTCAAGACTAGCCTGGGAAACCTGGAGATTTGGGGTGACCCTGTCTCAAATTTTCCTTCAGAAGGCTCGGGATATAGTTCTGGGTTCAGTTCCTGGTGTTGCCTCCCTGAAAAAAATTCAGTGAACAAATCAATATTCTAGAATCTAAAAGCAGCATACTAGAAACAAAGATCTTAACAGGAGGATTGGAAAGGAATGTCGGACAAAAATAGAACAAATAGACAAAGAAATCAATACTGGTAGAGAAATTAGAGGACAAATTCAAGATGTCCCACTTCTAGTTAATAGGAATTCCAGGAAGAAATAACAGGAAAGCTGGGCATGGTGGCACATGCCTGTAATTTCAGCACTCAGGAGGCTTCAGCAGGAGGATAACTGAATTCAAGGCTAGCTTGGGCTACAAAGTGAGTGCAAGGCCAGTCTGAGCTGCATAGTGAAAACCTGTCTCAAAAAAACCAAAAGAAGAAGAAGAGGAGGAGGAGGGAGAGGGGGAGGGGAACAGGGAGGGGGAGGGGAAGAGGGAGGAGAAACACGAGAAAGGATGTTATCAAACAAAAAATTCAAGAACATGTCTCCAAATTGAAGGAGTTGGGTTATTGAGGGGGAAAAAGCACACCAAAACCCAAGCTCAGTGGACAAGAAAACCTATTCACAATCTTAAAACTGAAGGCTTAATGAATCTCCTACACTATTCCAGAGAGGAAAAATTGAAGTGAAAAATGAATTAGGATTTATGACTTCAGACTCCTTAGCAGCAGTATAGAATCTAAGAGACAACGGAGAAGTGACTTCAAAATTTAGCGGGAAAATAATTTCCAAAGAAGGGTTTATTCCTAGCACAACTGTTAAGAAAAAAGGTAAATTAATGGCATTTTCCTACATTCACAACCTCAGAATTTTACCCATGCGGGACTCAAAGTTTCTTTCTCATTGTGGAACACTAATCTGCGTGTGTGTGTTTCCGGAGGGAGCTCTTCTTAGCACACTCGCACACTGTATTTTCCTTTCACCTTGGATCACTAGCTGCGATCCTGTCTTCAAGGTTTGAAAGTCTATCTTCAGTCTCTTTCAAGTGGTTTTGCCAGCTTTCAATGGACTTTTTACTTTCCTGAATATCTCTGAATCTGTTTCATGCATTGCAATTTCTTCCTGTACTGTTCATTCAAGGTTTGCATCATTTTCTTACGCTCCTGTTTTTAATGTCTTCTTTAGATATGCTCAGCAGTTCTTTCATTACATTTGTGATTTCTTCTTTTACCTGAGACATTATTTCTGATTTGATTGTTTTTACAGTCTCATGAAGCTGTTTCTTTACTTCCGTTGTTATCGTCTTGGAGATTTCAGGTGTGTGAATTCCATTTTATTCCATGACTATCTCCCAGACGTGTTCTGTGTGGGCTGGAGGTCTGAGATTGCCTTTTGTTACTTCCTCTTGACATCCTCCTGGGTTCCTCCCAGCAAGCCAGTTGTGAAGTCCCAGGCACTTCCCAGGTTGGCTGTCCTGTAGGGAAACAGGACAGGCACCTGGGTTTTTCTGAACCCAGGTTCCCAGGGAGATAGCACGGTGTGGGGCAGGTTTCTCCAGACCCGTGCAGCTACACTGAAGCTTCCCTGATGGCCAAATGTGCATGGTGGTGAGGCTGCTTCTTGTCCCAGCCTGCATGTCTACACCAGGACTCTCCTGATAGCCATAGGCACACAGGAGTGTGTTTGTCTGATTCTCCCAGTGGGTGCTGGCTGCCTGCAGGAAGCAAGCCTTCTGATGCTACATTGTATTTTGAGTGTTCCCAATTCTGAGCTGTACTTTTCATCATCCTGAAATTAGTAAATATAAATGTTTGCATTAATGAATTAAGATACACACATGATAGTGGCCTAGAGAGATCCAGCTATCCCAGAGCAGGCTGGGAGAATAAGCTGCACCCTGAAGTCCTGCCATGGGAGAGGGGAGCATTGGTGAACCACCAGTACATGTCTCTCTACCACTCCAAAAAAGGTGGATTGGGGGAACCCAGGTGCCTAGTGCAATCCACTAAACCAAGGGACTGGCAGCCAATGCAGGAAGCACCCAGGATGCAGCACTGGGCTGCTTCAGAGGAACATAGGAAAATGTCAAGAAGAAGGAGAGAAATACAATCTCAGACCTCCGGCCCACACAGAACAAGTTTAGGAGACACAGACACAGTAGAAATTAGAAGTTACACACCTGAAATTTCTGAAAAGGTAACAACTGAAGTAAAAAAGCAACTCAGTTCTTATATTGTTTGGTTAACTTTACAGGCATATCTCTGAAGGTCTGGATAGCTATTTTGAAGATAACAAGAGGCATTATGGTAGCCATTGTTAATTTCCTATGATCTTGTTTTGAGGTCCTGTATCACTTTCATTGTTTTGTTTTGATTGGCCTTATTCTGTTGACTTTATTCTCTTTTAAATAAAATAAAATAAATAAACTAAGGCACAACTAATTGTACAGCGTAGAATGATTACAAGATGTGAGAAGATTTGCAAAATCTGAAAGAATTTAGAAGTTTGCTAGCCAACAAAGTTATTCCAAAATGTACGAAGAGGGAGAAAAAAGTTATGATTGAAGTAAAAAGCAGGGAGAGTGGGAGGAGTCAGGACACATACAGGAAGTAAGAAACATGGGAATTCCGAGAATATATAACTGGAGTGAGTGTTGGACTCACCTGGGGAATATGGAAAACTAGATTCCTCGTTGCAATCCTGGAACCCATATTCTGAAGCTTAGACTCTATTGTGTAGGTTGCCCCCCCCATGTGTAATGGTCAGAGATACCCACAATGCATCAGTCTTGCATAGAAAGCTACCCGGAATTTAGGTACAAATGCACCATTTGAAACAAACTGGTTCTTCACTTACTGAAAATTTTGCAGATGGACTCACTCTTTGGATGAGTAATCCCTTGTAGGACATGTACGATTTTATTTCGCATACTTGTGTTGAGAGATTCTTTTACCCAGACATTTTTTGATGGCTATAGTACATATAAAAATAGACATTTTCCTTGAACATATTTCATTGTGGGTTTTAAAAAAATTTATTTATTTATTTATTTATTGCTGCTGTTTTTGAGAGACGGTCTTGTAGTTCAGGCCAGCCTTAAACTCACTAGGTAGCCCAGGCTAGCCTTTAACTCAGTGTGATCCTCCTGCCTCAGCCTTCCTCTCCAAGGGATTACAGGCCTGCTACCACACCCGCTCACTCATTGTGGTTTAAAAATAATGTTTATCACGACAGATGTATAACTGGTTTAGTTAAAAATATGTTCTTCTCGGGCGAGTAGACCCAAGAAGCTAGCTCGCTGGGAGCTGTCCGAGGTTCTGAACGTGACGCCCTACTCCAGCCTTCGACCTTCCCAACAAGAAAAGGCTCTCCGAGCCCTTTTTTCCCTGTCTTGAGGGAATCAGGTTCTTTCCTTCCCAGCGAAGGCGGGGCTTTATGCTTTTGTCTCGGGGCACACACGACCTTGGGTCCCGCCTTCCCAGCCCCCCAGCGGGCGGGGGTCCCCGACCCGGCCTGCCCCACCCCCGCGAGCGCGCCCGCGCCCATCCCCCGCGCCCGCTCCTCCCTCTCGGTCCCGCCCCGCGCGCCGGCGGCCCGGGTCCCCCGGCTGGGAGCGGAGCGGGGGCGAGGAAGGCGGCGCCGCGGGCGGCGTGCGGAGCGCGGCGGGCATGGACGCCGAGTACCCAGCCTTCGAGCCCCCGCTCTGCAGCGAGCTCAAGCAGCTGTGCCGCCGGCTGCAGGAGGCGTACCGCGAGCTGAAGGAGGACCTCGCGCCGTGCAGGGATGACCGCTACTACAGGTGGGCGCGGACCCCGCTGCGCCCCGCGCCCGGGGGGCCTCGCGCTGCGGCGCGCGCTTTCGGGGTCTCGGCCAGTTTCCCCGCCCGGAAGCCTGAGCCGTTCTGCTCGCTGCGGGAGAAGGGGACCGCGGGCTTGGTCCCCGCCTGGCTCCTCCTCTCCCCGCTTCCCCGTTGTTCTCCCTCCCACCCACGCGGCCGCTGCTCCGGCCCTGCCCATCCTGGCTTTGGGGAGACAATTTCCCACCCAGATCTGGAGCCTCTGTTCTGGGGACCCCAGGCCCTGGGCCCTGGTGTAAATCTCCAGTCTGGGCGCTGCCGCGGGTGGGGCAACGTGGTTTCGCGACAGAGTGGCACCGCCGTGCAGATGCGCAGGGAGGCCATTAGGACTCCGGGAGGAGCTGTGCGTCTGGGCTTCGCTGTGTTGCTTTTAGACTCCCTGTCCAGTGGCCGGGCTCGGGGCCTGCAGCTGGCTTGGCGGCAGGGCACTGGCCCCTTCCTGTTCGCACTGGCGGGTTCTGATGGGGAAGTGTGGTCGCTGCCAGTGACTGCCTAGCGCCCTAATGCATCCAGGTGTAAGGAATGAGCACTATCAGGACTAGATTGATTTTTACCACGTAGTTCTGTGACCTCAATGTTACCTCGCTCAGGGCCTGAAGCTCCCTCATCTGTGAAATGCAAAACTTGAACTAGGTAACAATAACAATCTGCTTACCTGCAATCCCAGGACTAGGCAGGAGAATTCAAACCCAGCGTGGATAATTTAGCAATCTAGTCTGGCAAGACCCTGTTTAAAGAAGGGGGGGGGGACAGGCAAGTGCTGGCTGTCATTTTTTGCATCACCTATTGAGTGCTAATAATTACACACGCGTGTTCAGAAGAAAATGTATCACATTTATCGTTAACTCTTCAAAGGCATAATGATTTCCCAGGGGATTAATCAGCAATCTATCACAGCCATGGTCATGATTACTGAGTGCGAAAGCTCATTAAAAGAAAAGACCAAGATGACATCCTGTGGCGGAGCCCCACGGTCTCTCATGCAGCCTCCTGAGAGACCTGATAGATAAGTGAGCCCACGCATAGTTTCGAACTATATTTTTGACATAAGATTATTTATAATCTTTCTGACTAGTTTCCTTCTGCCTGACTCCCCGCTCCCCAACATCTCTTTGGTTGAAAGAGCTAGTGGATAGAGAAGTTGTCTCAGTGCCGGTCGCAGAGAAAAAGTAACACCTCTGGCTAATCTATGATTGGATCGCCCTTTTATTTATTTATCAATCTATTCAACTAATTGTTGAATATCTTCTGTGTTTCTGTTGTTGCCCTAGGTGTGGGGATGGGTAGGTTACAGGCATGAACAGTTCAGAAAGGGTCTCTTCTGTCATGGGGGCTGCAGATACTAAGTGACTGCATGTTATGATGATTGCTGGCAAGATAAACAGGGATCAAGAAAGGCTCTTTGAAAAGGTGACATTTGTCTGTGAAGAATGAGGAGCTCACTAGACAGTGAGCTGGGGAGAAAAGTTCCAGAGAAGGAAGTGTAGTAGTGTAGTAATCGGATCAGTAGAGCCTAGAAAGGTCAGAAAAAGGCATATGGTTTCATGAGAACTGCAACGGGAAATCACTGGAGGTTTTTAGGTTGGGGAAGTAACCTGAGCAGTGTGGCAAGCCTAAGAATCTTGTGGTCTGGAGTACCTTGTCATTTCAGTTGGACCCTGAAGATGAATTCACCATTGTTGGAAGATTTTTGCCCCTTCTCTTGAGAACAAGTGGACTGTAGGTGCTTTCTAATGTTTTATTTTGCCGATAGACCAGTATGGCTGAATCGCAGAGACTTCCATGGTGAGAAAGTTTTAGGTCACAGAACCATCTATGAATGCCTGACTGATCCTTCATCTCAGTGGGTTGTTCCTACACATACTCAGCGCAGGGTTCTGGGAGCTCTGGGCCAGCCAGCTGGTAGTGACAGCTCTGCACCTGCCTCATGGGAAGAAAACCCTGCTACTATAGCAGTAGCTTCCGCTCTTCTCACCACCTTGGTTTCCTCATCCCTGGAGGATCAGGGACTCACCTCACGTGGTTGACAGTTTCCTCATAACAGGGCAAAGTAATGAACACAGCTGCTAATGATCCATTTCCCTCTGAAACAGATCACATGCACACAACTGGCAGAGCTGTGTGCATATCAGTTAGGTTATCTGCCAGGCCTGGAAAGCTGCAGCCAGGTGGTCAGAGGACACAAAATCATACTCCCTGCCAGGAAAGGGAAGGTGGAAGTGGAGTAGGTCAGGAGCTGAAATCCTGGGGTCTGTATGTCAATTCAGTCCTTCACAAACTCCTTAGCTTTAGGTGAATCAGGTGAATTTTACCACATGATCAATTTCATATCAGACAGTTGAAACTTGTAATGCTGTCCTCAAGTACGCTTTAAGCCTCAAGTCCTCTGTGAAAATAATGCTAAAGAGGCTTTTAGCTCCAGATAAAAAAAACCAAAGCGAATCAGTCTGGACAATAAAGTTCAGTGATGCCTTGGTTCATGAACTTAATTCTTTCCATGATTCTGGTCACAAATCAAATTGAACAAAAACTGAATCAAATTCAGTGGTTAGGTTCCATGTTGGCCTTATGGGAATATTTGATTCTGTTCCCATCTAATTTGGTCTGCACCCAGAATGTTGGAAATAATTAAATTCATGAACCAAGGCACCACTCTAATGGATCAAGTTGTTAATCCAGCAGCATAATGATGTAACCAAGTTCTTTCAGTTTTTAACTTGGTAGCAATTGGCTGCAACAATAACCGTTAGACTCTTGCTTCTCATTCACATTTAGGGTGAGAAGAGGCTGGCTTTTCACGGCTGTCTCTAAAAGCAATAAATAATTTGAAGCCTGCAACCAAGTTCCTTGAATCTCCTCTACACTACCTCAAAATGGTAACAATGAAGAAGAGTGTGTTGAGAAGGACATGAAACTTTCTTATGCTGCAGAGGGGATGCAAGTTTGTATAATTACTATAGGAAACTAACTGTTCGGCAGTAAAGTTCAACATACACATTCCCTTTGATTTAGCATTTCCTTTCAGCCGAGTACCCTAGAGAAGTGCATACAGATGTCCATCAAAAGATATGTATGGAAATGTTTGTAATCATACAAGTTGTAATACTCCTAAACTGGAAAGTAGCCAAATACCCATCAGCCATCGAATGAATATATTTGGCTTATTCCATAATTGACTATTAAACCGCAATAAAATAAACTCACAGCTATACATAACAATCAAGAAAAACCTTGCAGCTAGGCATGGTGGCTCATGCCTGTAATCCTGCACTTGGGCGGCTGAGGCAGGAGGATCTCTGTGAGTTTGAGGACAGCCTGAACTATATAGGGAACCCTGTCTCAAAATAATAATAATAACAATAATAATAATAGTAATAATCTACATATCCGAAGCACCTGGGGAATGGTGGTGATGGATAGCTGTCTGGACCCTATCCTCATGGGTTCTTCTTCAGTTGGCCTGGACTCTACTTTGACCAGGATGGGGAACCCCCAAGCGTAAGTGAAATGAGTTGGGGCAGCAGGCTGAATAGAGCCTGCACCCTTCCTCTGCCTGGATGACTTGCTAACAGGATGGAGTATTGGCAGGCACAGGCATTGGCTTCGGACTCAAAGCTCAGTGGCCACTGTCAACATGACCTTGGCTGGTTTCCGCTTTGCACATTTCCAGGCTGGCCGGCCTCCCTCTTTGGATTCATACATCTGGTCAGGTGATAGTCAAGTTTAAGGTCAGAGAACAGTGTTTCTATTTAAAGTAGACCCAAGTTTCTGCAACCTGCCTGACTTGTCTGTGCTGATTTTGTGTATTTCAGAGGATTCAAGTTATTTTACCCTCACAGATGATTAATAACTGTCTTTTGTTTCTTCTTTGATGAGAGGAGACATTATCCCTGACAAGGCTGATTTCCTAGTCCCACCATTCCAAGCTAGGAAGACAGTTTCCTTAATTTAACGCTTAAGTGTGTGTGTGTGGTGTTGGAGAATGAACTCAGGACCTTCTCACTGAGCTGCATCTCAACCCTTAATTTTTAATTTTGAAAGAGTCTTACTAAATTGCCCAGGCTGGGTTTGAATGTGTGATCTTCCTGCCTCAGCCTCCTGAAGTGCTGTGATTACAGGTGTGCGCCACCACACACTGGCACATACTTACTTTTAAGTGCTTGAGGACTTCGAGTTATGTACAAATCTGGTTCAGAAACAGAGAAAGGTGATGTCGTATAGGGCTCAGATGGGTGGTGGACTTCAGTGTGGGTTATGCCCCCAATCGTGCCCATGTCTTCCAGCTACCCCTCATCCCCACAGGGAGCTCCCACTCACGCTCTGGACTCATCCTCCCTCAGTTATCCCCACGACCCATTCTTATGTCTCAGCCTTCTTCTATCTCTGACTTCTTCCCAACTGCTGATAACTTTTTGTCCAAACAGAATTCTCTCCGCCCAGTCACGTTTGAGAGCAAACATGCTGCCCTCAACATATGAGAGTCTGACTGCTTTACTCCCGTGGTCCTAGAGCAAGTTAAACCTGGTCCCTTCATATCGGCTCGCTTGTGGTTTCCTTCATCCCACCAGTTAGGATTGAAGCTGCCCAATGGGGTAAAGAAAAAATTTCCCAGCACAAGTGAAATTTTCTGAGACTTAGATTTTCTTTTCCTTCTTCTTGCCTGATTAAACTGTACACCAAAGTCAGCTAGGAAGATGGGACACTTTTCCTTTTTGAACACTCTCTAGGCACAGGCTGTGGCAAGGGCACACATTGATCATTAGCTCCAAGCCTACCAGTGCCCAACCTATATTCTCTTTTTGTGTGTGTGTGGTTTGTTTTGTTTTTGTTTGTTTTGAGACAGGATCTCACTATATAGCTTAGGTGGGCCTCTAACTCACTATGTAGCACATTCTGGCCTCAAATTCTTGGTGATCCTTCTGCCTCAGCCTCCAAAGTCCTGG